TTATATGACAGCTTAGTATTATTATTTACTGTTATTGCTGGATTTCTGAGACAGGGTCTTATTATATAGCCCAAGACAGCCTGAATTCACTCTTTCCGCTTTAGCCTCCTGAGTGCTGGGACGACACACACACCACTCCGCCTACCATTGTTTTCACTGTGGTACAGTTTTCCACCTTAGTGATTATGCCACAATGCACTAACCACTTCTGTAATCATTTGTGTGCATGTATGGTGCTGGGCATTGAACCCAGGGTCTTGTGAACGATGGGCAAGCATTCCACCAGGCCTGGTAACATGGATACTGCTTCTCAGTATTGGAAGCATAGCCTGTAATGAATGTCTCTTATGTGCCTCTCTGTGCTCTCAGGTGCTTTCCTGAAGACACATCAGAGGATGAGTGTGTTTTACACGTCCTCACCGCCCCCCCCACACATACACCATCGTGTGTCCCTTCCAACAGTGACAGTGCAAATCTCTAAGTTAAGACATTTGGTATAATGGAGTGTCTGCTATTAGGATGCAAATTCCTCAGGGGTGGGTAATTAAATGCTCAAAACCTTACGCTTTGTCGGATAGTATGAATATGTGTGTGTGTGTGTGTGTGTGTGTGTGTGTGTGTGTGTGTGTGGTGGGGCAGCTTTAGTAACTGAGAAATGTGGCACTTCCTTGGAAGGCAGTCAGCTGTCTGAAGAGAGAGCACACTAAAGAGTAGAGAGAACTAAAACGTAGATGGACTAGTCACTTTGCTTCTTGCTGTGACCAGCTACCTGACACAAAGCCACTTACAGAAGCGTAGTAGTTGTTGGTTTGTAGTGCAAAGCAATACCGTTCATCATGGCAGGGTAGAGGCATCGTGACAGGTCACAGGTGTCTGGTGTCTGGCAGCAGAGAGCAAAACGAAGAGGAGAGCCAAGCTATGGTGTCCCAAGGCCCTCCTCTCTCAGTGACCCACTTCCTCCAGTGAAGTGCCACCCCCTGAAAGTTCAACACTCTTCCAAAACAAACAAATGTCAAACACGTTTGTCTAAGGGGACATTTCACATTCCAATTGCCAGAATAGGTGTGGGTGACAAAAAGATGCTCAGCGATGCAGCATTGCAAGATGATTTCCATGCACTGAAGGCTACAGAAGCCAGAAGAGCCAAAGCAAAGAACTGTCACCCTAGCCAGGCACGGTAATTGGTGCACATCTGTAATTGCAGCATTGTGGGGTAGGTGCAGAAGGAGCAGGAGTTTTCAGTCAGCCTCCACGACATAGCAAGTTTGAGGCCCTCTCTCAAAAACTGAGAAAAAGGGCTTGTCAGCCTTCCTTCTGAGTCTGGAGACCTGCAGAGTTGGGGGAGGGTGTTCTATACACTCCCCATGGGTCAACTGTGCCCCACCCTGTAAAACCTACTCCTTCATGTC